ACTGGATCAGAGGGATTTAATTGACATTTATAGAACATTTCACCTGAAAGCAGCAGAATATATACATTCTTCTCAAGTGTACATGGATTATTCACAAAGATAGACTACATGTTAGGGCACAAAACAAGTCTCTACAAGTTCAAGAAGATTGAAATCATAGCAAGCATCTTCTCAGATCACAGTGGAATGAAATTAGAAATCAACTACAGTAAAAACACCCCAAAACATCCAAACACATGGAGGCTAAATAGCATGTTATTAAACAATGAATGGGTTACCAACAAGATCAAGAAAGAAATAAAAAACTTCCTGGAAACAAATGAAAATGAACACACAACCACCTGAAATCCCTGGGACACAGCTAAAGCAGTCCTGAGAGGTAAGTTCATACGACTACAGACATACCTCAAATCAAAGACTTGGTTGGTCTAGTATAATCCATATTAAATAAATTCCTTGAAAACCAAATCTATCTTGCTCATCATTCTAAAATATAAAATGGTGCCTGGAACATTGTAACTGATTGATACTATAAATATTTTTTGAATGGATGGGCAGGTCAATTAATGAAGGAATAAATGTCACTCACAAAATCTTACGGAAGTCAGACCAATGAAGCTCCTTAGATTCCTCCAATCTGTGACAAATGCCCTGTCTTGCATGATACTTTTGAAGGGCACTGGTCAGGTGTTCTGTGGAATACACCTCTTTATGAGTTGTCTCATGATTAGACTGAAGTTTTAGTTTTGGTGAAGAATACCACATAATAATATGCTCTACTTGTATGTAGTAATATGCATACACTGGGGAATACATGATATCAATATGACTTTTTCTTACTTGGGTGATGTTAACCTTAATCAGTTGGTTAAGATGGTATCTTCCAGGTTTCCCCACTGCAGAGTTACTACTTTACCTTTCTCTATCCCTGTTAGAAGTGAGTCAATAACTCTGGCACATACTTAAAAAGAAGAGAATTCAGATCTCTTTTCCTTTGAATGTCTGCTCTTCAAAACAGCATTTAAACTTATTTGAATTATTTAAATAAACTAGGGTGAGAATAATTTTTAATTCAAGAAATGATACTCCAGCCCTAACCGGTTTGGCTCAGTGGATAGAGCGTCGGCCTGCGGACTGAAGGGTCCCAAGTTCAATTCCGGTCAAGGGCATGTACCTTGGTTGCAGGCACATCCCCAGTAGGGGGTGTGCAGGAGGCAGCTGATCGATGTTTCTCTCTCATAAATGTTTCTAACTCTCTAGCCCTCTCCCTTTCTCTCTGTAAAAAATCAATAAAATATATATTAAAAAAAAAGAAGAAATGATACTCCATTATCAGAAGTGATTATATTAAAATCCCAACTTGATATATAACACGTCATTCAAAAACAGAACATTTGGTAATGCCAGTATTCCAAAAATTATCTCTTTTTTTTTTTTAAATATATTTTTATTGATTTTTTTACAGAGTGGAAGAGAGAGAGATAGAGAGTTAGAAATATCGATGAGAGAGAAACATCGATCAGCTGCCTCCTGCACATCCCCCACTGGGGATGTGCCCGCAACCCAGGTACATGCCCTTGACCGGAATCAAACCCGGAACCCTTCAGTCCGCAGGCCGACGCTCTATCCACTGAGCCAAACCGGTTTTGGCCAAAAATTATCTCTTAATTATGACTCTTCCATTGTCCCTTACCCCCAAACAACCCAGATAAGAGTCAAATCATGAATCATCCTCACAAGTATTGAAAGGCAAATGTCAATATTATAAGATGTGTAGGGTACGTGACATTCATTGTACTATTCTTTCAACTTTTCTGTATATTTTAAATAAAAACACCACCACAGCCCTGGCTGGTGTGGATCAGTTGATTGGGGCGCTGTCCCTCACCGAAGGGTTGCGAATTCAATTCCTAGTCAGGGTACATTCCTAGGTAGCAGGTTTGATCCCTGGTCAGTGAGTGTGGGAGACAATTAGTTGATGTTTCTCTCTCTCTCCTTCTACCTCTCCCTTCCCCCCTCTCTCTAGAATAAATGGAAACATGCCCTTGGTGACTTAAGAAAAGAAAACCCCACATTGGCCTGAACCAACATATAAAGTCAGTGGTCCACATGATACTAAAAACACATCATGACTCAGTTCTTCTCAGAGTCTATTCACAACTAAAATCCTTTATCTTTTTTCTTATCTGGGAAGCTCTTTATTTCCCTTTCAATTGTAAATGAAAGCCTTGCTGGGTAGAGTAATCTTGGTTGTAGGTCCTTGATTTTCATTACTTTGAGTATTTCATGCCAATTCCTTCTAGTGTTTCTATTGAGAAGTTAGCTGAGAGTCTTATGGGAGCTCCCTTGGAGGTAAGGAAGTATCTTTCCCTTGCTGCTCTTAAGATTCTTTGCCTTTAACCTTTGCCATTTTAATTATGATTTGTCTTGGTGTGGGCCTTTTTGGACTCATCTTATTTTGGACTATCTGCACTTCCTGGTCTTGTGTGTCTTTTACCTTGACCAGATTAGGAAAGTTTTCAGTCATTATCTCTTTAAAGAGGTTCTCAATCCCTTGCTCTCTCTCTTCTCCTTCTGGTAAGTGGACCCAGAACCAACATACCCGGTGATGGGCTTCAGATCACAGCAGAGCACCACCCAGTTAGTCATGCAAGTAGCACAACCAAAGAGAGATCCCAGCAGGCACCAGACGAGGCTCATCACCACATCTCTCTCTCATTAAAAAATGCAAATGTTGCTATGCTTGATGTTCTCACAAAGGTCTTTAGACTTCCCTCATTTTTTAAAATTCCTTTTTTCTTTTTGTTGCTCTGCCTGGGAGTTTTCTGTTATCTTGTCTTCTAAATTTAATCGTCTGCTTTATCTAATCTTCTATTGATTCCTTCTAGTGTATTCTTCATTTCAGATACTGTCTTTACGTCTGATTCTTTTTTATGGTTTTTATGTCTTTTTTAATGCTTATTTTCTCTGGTTAAATTCTCACTGAATTCATCCATTCTTAAGTTCCTCAAGCATCCTTATAACCATTGTTTTGAACTCTGCATCTGGTAGCTGCTACATTTCATTTAGTTCTTTTTCTGGGAACTTTTCCTGTTCTTTCATTTGGGGCATATTTCTTTGTTTCCCCATTTTGTCTGCCTTTTTTTGTTTGTCTTTGTGTATTAGGTAGGTCTGCTATGACTCCCAATCTTGGTATGGTGGTCTTATGCTGTTGGAATCTTGTGGGGCTCCATGGTGCAATCTTCCTGATCACCTGACCTAGGTGCTCCAGGAATATTCCTTGTGTGGGTTATGTGAGCCCTCTTGCTATAGTTGAGTCTGTTTTAAAAAATATTTTTAAATATATTTTTATTGACTTCAGAGGAGGAGGGGGAGAGAGATAGAAACATCAATGATGAGAAAGTATCATTGACTGGTTGCCTCCTGCACAATGCCCACTGGGATCAAGCTCACAACCCAGATATGTGCTCTGATCGGGAATCAAACCATGACCTCCTGGTTCATAGTTCGAGGGTCAAGCACACCGGCTGGGGTGTGTAGTTGAGTCTTGATTGCTGTTGGCCCATCCGTGATTGGGGTTAACTCTCAAGCTGGCAGAGTATGAGGACTGAACCTGAGCCATAGTGGTGGGTTGCCACCCAAAGCAGAGTTGGCCCCAGCCTCGTCTGGTGCCTGCCGGGATCTCTCTTTGGTTGTGCTACTTGCATGACTAACTGGGTGGTGCTCTGCTGTGATCTGAAGCCCATTACCAGGTATGTTGGTTCTGGGTCCACTTGGGCAGGACCCCAGTGTAGGTCAATATCAGACATTGCCTATAACTGGCCTTGGGATACTTTTCTGAAGCTACCAAGTTATCTGCAGTTTGTGACTGCCTCTACTGAGCCTGCTAGCACATGGGAGGGGCCAAGCTATGTACAAAGGCTGGCTTCCAGTAGCTCTGAGACCATGGGAAGATCAATAAAAGGCCCAAGATCTTCCTTTATCTGATAGCTTCTCTGGCACTCCTTGAGGCTGCCTGGACTTCCTCGAGAGCCTTCCAAACAAAGTATGTAGAATGGCCCCAGGCTGGCTGTAGTCTGCAGTTTTTTTCACAAGGCATGAGCTCAATAGGGTAGGGAGGACAGGCAATATACATATTATTTTACTTATTAAGTACCTAATAGTCATCAAATTCTTATTATATAGGGATACATATATGAATAACATATATACACAAACATGTAAGGAGTAAGTTGGTAAAAGTAAATTATCTAATCTCTCTCTCTCACTACACACACATATACCACACTCTATCTTCATCAACACCATGAGGTCAGTCTCCCTAGACCAGTCCCAAAAGTAGACATTTACTTTGAGAAGGGGGCATCATTCATAGTAAGAATAAATGCAAATGGAGTATAGAGCACATGGTCATCTAGAGGATCAAGAAAAACAAGTATGTCGAAAAGAATATAAGATACATAGAAGAGCTAAATATGGACAGAGTATCCCCCCAAAATACTCATTTTCAAACAAGATCCTCTTTAAAAAATAAATGCAAGCAAGGCTGCACTAGCTGCCTGAAAGTTTTGGAGCAGGTAACAAATGCCTGCCTTCAGAGAGGGCGTCCAGTGGTGCCCTCAGAGAGAGGAGGACACAGAGGCAGGACTCAGAAAGGTATGTGCAGGAGCAAGCAAGTGGGGACCTGAGTGGAGAAGCCAGAAAAACCGAGGCTGAAGTGTATAAAAGAATTTTGTCTGCTGAGCTGAAGTGCTCAGGTCTGATAGGCTGAGTCACAGACACCATGGGTTCTGAAATAGGATGAAATAAAGAGTGTAAATGGCGGGGTCTGTCAAAGCATTCCATATCTAAGCCATCCGTACTAACCTGACAGATACCAAATATCTGGCACTGTATCTGGCACTTCAATACAATCTTTGACACTGAAGTTTAAGGAAGAAGGGGAGGGGAGAGGAGGGAAAAAGAATGGTACCTTTAGGCTTCTCTCCAAGTTGACTTACCTCATAGAAAAGTCCTTCCGGGAACTGCTGGAAGCACTGAGCACATACAAAACACTGCTCGTGGTACAGCTCGCCATTACTGTTCACAATCTTCTCGGCGGGTGCAAAACCCCCCCTGCAGCGCTCACAAGTGGCATTGGCCAGGGCATTGGCCATGTTACTGTAAAAAACAAAGGACAGGAAGTCACAGATTAACCTTTTTTTAGACATAAGACCAAAAAACAGAAAGAACTAAAGAGCACATTCTATCTGATCACAAATATCATATTTTATCTATACAGCCCAATTTTGTGTTTTCATGTTAATGAATGCCATGCCATTGCACAGACACAGATGATCCCTCTTTTGATTAGATCCTATTGAAAGCAACTGCTCAAGTAACTCTTAAAACCAGTCAAAATTCCTTAGTCCTATAATCCAATTGGTAAGACAAATATTAAACACTAATATTATAAAATATATCTTAAAATCACAGAATTTTACATTATAAAGATCACTTTACAGATGATGAAATGGGAGTTTGGAGGAATGGAGTGACTAGCCCAAACCTACAAAACTAATTAGTTAATGGAAGATATAGGATGAGAATCCAGGTCCCCTACTAATAAAATCACAATCATATTATAATATCAATTTTAAAACACTTGAGAACACACTATAGGGACACCACCACACTTTGCAGATGGGGAAAGTAAAACCAGGCAGTCAAATGAGCACTGATGGTGAGCCCAAGGTGTTGGTAACTTCCTCGCCAACCATTCCACTATACCTGGAAACACACAGGACACATTCAATAAGTGGTCCCAAGTTCCACCTAACCATTGTGCAGTTTGCAAGAAGAGGATATAATAAGGCATATAATCAGACAATTAGTTATTCTCTAATGGCTTCCCTGAATTTCACATAAAGAACTGTTTTGTTTCTGAAAGGCCTCCAAGTGAAGAAGGTCCCCTAAACAGGCTAAGCTAAGCCACTCTTTGTAATTTGGTAAGTTTATTTTCAGATGCCCACTCAGAGCACAAGTTGCACCTGTGTGTCTGGTCCCCTGGTGCAGCTTCTGACCATCTGATCAAGTTCCTGCCAACGTTCTGAATCTTCACCACCACCCTGTGAGACAGGTGGAAGGAGAGTCTCCATTTCACAGACAGATTAAGGCCTTGTTTTGCTGTTTGTTTAACAAATGTCTTCACAAATAACCTTGTTTCACCTTCACTCCACCCCAATGGAAGACAACTTTGCCTTTCTCCCCCAAATGCTTCAAAGAACAGTATTCCTATTTTGTAGCTTTGCCATAACTTACTCAGTACCATGTTTATAACTTCATAACAATCACACTCAATTTAACTTCATAGGATTAAATGCAGAATTAACTCCCTCCCCACCCACCCCAACCCTCCCAAAAAAAGGAGAAAGGGAGGAAGGGAGGCAGCCTCACTACTTGGCAAACCTTGCTTACACCTCACACTAAAATAAATTTTCTACTCTGTCATTTCAAAATTGTTGTGGGTTAGGAAGAAAAATCTGTAAAATTCCCTTCTTCACCTGGCTTTGCCATAAGCCAGACAAACTGTGGGAGTTTTAGCAAAGCTCTAGAAAGGGCTGTGCTTCCTCCTTTCTCCTGACTAATCCACAGGTGTCCCAGGATGAAGCATGGTAAGCCCACACCTACCTGGATACTTCTTGGTACTGTTTTGAAGATGAAATAAGAAAAAGTATATAAAACCACTGTGAAAACCAGAAGATGCTACTCAAATATAAAGCATTATTATCTACAGTAATAAAAGCGTAATATGCTAATTAGACTGGACATCCTTCCGGATGACCTTTCCTGACGAAGCCAGGGCTGCGAGGGAAGCCTGGGTCCCGGGTGCCAGAGGAAAGCCGGTGCTGGCAGCTGGGGGAAGGAAGGCCTATTCTTGCACAAATTTTGTGCCTCTAGTTAATTATAAACCCTTTCAAAAGATTCACCAAATTCTCAATGATTTTAATGGAATTTCAAAAAAGCTAGAAAATAAGACCATCCTGGAATGTCTTAATTCAGTGGTTCTCAAAATTTAGGGCCCACTGTGACCCTTTTAGATATTCAAAAGGTCCTTCTTTTCCAATCACATCTCTATGGAACACCACCTTTCCTTTGCAGATTTTACAGAAAACAATACGTTACAACAGGATGAATGCAGAAGCAGTTATGAGAAACTGTCTTTTATTAAGACAGAGGTTAATGATATTTGCAAAAATGTAACACAGTGCTATACTTCCCACCAAGTGTTTCTTGTTTTAAAAACACTTATTTTTGTCACTAAAAATTAATATTAATGTTTATTAATACTATTGCACAAGATTACTATTTAAAAATATTTTATTGATTTTTCACAGAGAGGAAGGGAGAGAGAGATAGAAAGCTAGAAACATCGATGAGAGAGAAACATCGATCAGCTGCCTCCTGCACATCTCCTACTGGGGATGTGCCCGCAACCCAGGCACATGCCCTTGACTGGAATCGAACCTGAGACCTTTCAGTCTGCAGGCCGACGCTCTATCCACTGAGCCAAACCGGTTTCAGCTGATTTTTTTAGAGAGAGAAACTTTAATGTGAGAGTGGAACATCGATTGGCTGTCTCCTGCGTGTCCCCTACCAGAGATCCAGCCCACAACCTGGGCATGTGCCCTGACAGGGAATCAAACCAGCAACCTTTCGGTGCACAGGACGATGTCCAACAAACTTCACCACACTGGCCAGGGCTGAAATTGATGTTTTAAGTGAACTAATAAATACTTAAGATATTTATTTTCTGATACAGTAAATATTGATAAAACAAAATCTCAAGGGTCAAGGTCAAAATGTTTGTCATTGATGTATGTACTATAGAATAGCAATTTTCAACCAGTGTGCTACAAGAATTTGAAACATGCAGTACCTAACTAGTTAGTCAGGGGCACTGATCTCTTTTCCCTTATATTATCAAATAAACCCTAGCTGGTTTGGCTTAGTGGGTAGAACGCTGGCCTGTGGACCAAAGGGTCCTGGGTTCAATTCCAGTTGCAGGCACCTCCCTGGCCTTGGCCCTGGTGGAGGCACATGCAGGAGCAACCAATCTATGTGTTTCTTTCACATTGATATTTCACTCTATCTTTCCCTCTCTCTAAAAATCAATGGAAATATATCCTCTGGTGAGGATTAAATCTATATACATAAAACCCTAATATGCAAATAGACCAAACAGTAGAACAACTGAACAACCGAACAACCAGTCACTATGATGTGTGCTGACCACCATGGGGCACGTGTGGAATATGGCGGACATTGGCATCAGGCAGCAGAGTGGTGGAACATGGTGGGCATTGGCCGCGGTGGAATGGTGGAGCAGGTGAGCGGGGGCACCAGACCAAGGCAGGATGCTGATTGCTGTCATCGGGGCGAGCCTCTGGTGGTTACTGAAAATTCTTTGCTCCCATGCACTGTGGTCCTGCTGAGGGCTTGCACCTACTGCTGGAGCCAGCCCTGCTTACAGCTCCCGGCCCCAGCCCCAATCACCCCTCAGAGCTTCTCCACCTCCCCCTGCTCCTGAGGGGCGATTGGGGCCAGCAGCAGTCTCTTGCACCAACTGCTCTGCCTGCCCCTGCAACCGGCTCCAGAGCCGCTGCTCACATCTGCTGCTGGCACCCGGCACCAGTCCCGATTGCTTGGTACCATCAGCGGGTGTGAGTGGCAGCTGCCAGCCCCAATCACACCTGAGGGCTTCTCCACCTCCCCCTGCTCCGGAGGGGTGATAGGAGCAGCAGCTGCTGCTCACACCTGCTGATGGTGCCAGCCCCGCTTGCACCCGATGCTGGCGCCAGCTCCAATTGCTCCATGCCGTCAGCAGGTGTGAGTGGGGCCAGTGCCATCAGTGTGTGGGAATAGCAGTGGTGGGAGCAGGGCTGCCAGCAGATAGGGGACTAGGGGCGCGGAGGATGGGCTGAGACCAGCCCCTGTGCCCACTGCAGCCTCGCGGCCCACAGCTCCTTTCAAAGTGCACGAATTTGTGCACTGGGTCCTAGTAAATAAATAAAAGATTATCAAATAAAAATAAGACTACAGCCAGCACAACAATAGCTGTCCAATGTGAATGAATCAAAATTATACCTGTTTTTGTCAGACTGGCAAAAAAAATGTATATTTTTTTGCCAATCTGACAAAATTTGGTTGGCACAGAATTTTAGTAATTAGTTAATATGTGTCATGAGATGAAAAAGGTTGAAAATTGCTGTTTACATTCAAGTTAAAATACTCAAATAGTTAGAATTAGAAAATAGGTAGAAACATTATAAAAAGAAGCATATAGTGGTTTGCTTTTACCACAGGAAAAATAAACTAGTTTTAGAAATAATGTAATATATATATTTAAGTATTCCTTTTCATTAAAATAAGGAAAAGAAACAGTACATTAGACGAAATTTTCAGGAAAAAAATTCCAATAATCTCACTAACCTACTAAACTCTTTACATTTCCCTTTTCTTTCTGACTTTGATCCTCTGGCACTATGTTTTTGTTTGATTGCTTATTTAATGGACTATTTTTTAGAGCAGTTTTAGGTTCACAGAAAAACTGAGTGGAAGGAACAGCGATTCCCCATATAGCCCCCGACCCACACATGCACAGCTCCCCCATCACCAACATCCCACATCCAAGTGGCACATTTGTTATAATGGATGAATCTACATTGACATATGTACTTTTTAAAGAGTTGACTTTTAGATTTAATACACATAATAAAAGTTACTTTTTTAAAGTCATGAATGATATACTGTCATTTGGTTAGCTATAATAAATTAATTTCTCAGAAAATTTTTCAACACAAGTGTTGATGGCAATGAATATATACATTGGGCAGATTCTCTCTCGCTCTCTCTCTCCATATATATATATAAAATTTTTTTCTATTGATTTTTAGAGAGCCTGGAAGGGAAGGAGGGTGGGGCAGGGGTGTGGGGGGAGGAGAGGAGAGGAGAGGAGAGGAGAGGAGAGGGGAGGAGAGAGAGAGAAACATTGATGTGAGAAAGACACATAGATTGCTTGCCTCACTCACAGGGCCAAGATCGAACTCATGACTGTTTGGTGCACAACTGAGGCTATATTACCACTTAGCCACACCGGCCAGGGCTATAGATATATGTTT